AGAATAAAAGATTGATATTGTCTTTGGTTTGTTTTATATGTTTACAAGTTTCCAATAATTAATGTATTGCCAAGAGCATCACAGTAAAATTTGGACTCTGCACGGTGAAAACAGCTGATCTATAATCAGTTTAGTTACGGTGCCTCTCCATGACACAATGCCTGACACTCACATTATATTTTGCCTCTGCCACAGCGATAGTCACGCTCTGAAACCTGACCTACTCACATTTTGGAACGGTGAGGGCAAATGTTGCCGTTGATGCTGTTGTCACTGTGCAAGCTTATACTGTAAAGCCTGATAAAAGGGTGCAGAAGAAAGAACTGCTGTTGTACATATGAAAGATATGGTAAGGGCCATCCACTGTAATGTAGATAGAATGTAAAGGATAAAACCTCAGTTACATCGTTTAAGGATAAGGATCTGTCTTCTGAGGAGACATCTTCTGGATAATAATCTTAACACAAGGTCAACTCACTAGTTGTTTCCTAGAGCTTTCAAATACATTCTACTGTCTTCATCAGTGAAAGAAGTTGACTCACCATCATCACTTGAAGTTCCATACAAGTCAGCTCTGTGAAGACCAAATAAACTCCTTTGCAGAAGAATATTATGTCACATAGAAACACTGGTCATTTTTCAACTTGTATATATTTTCAGGTGAAATCCGAATATTGATCTTTTAGATTGTGTTACTAACCAGCTTGGTGTATTCCTGCCAGGAAATACATTAAGTGATCCAGCAAAACCTACTGACTATGTTAACAAGCACAAGCCACCACTTAGATTTGTATAACTTTGTCTTAGTCTACCTCTGTAATGCCTTAGGCCTACATTCTTGCTCAAGTTGGCAGTCTATATTGAGAGTGAATTTTGAGAAGAGAAGAATGTTTGTTTTCTGACAAGCTTAGGGTAAAAATGCATTTGAGCCACTTGCCTTGGAGGGCAAAATAAGTCACTGGATATGAAACAGAGGGCGGCGTCCAGCTGAGAGCCTTTGAATCATGCTACAACTGATGCCATCTCAATCTTGTGTTTTTGAGGACAGTGTGATAAGGGCTTGTTTGGC